AAATGGTAAATTTTTTAACAAAATCTGACTACACTGAGGTTTACTAATGAAGTGTTAACATGGTTTTCTCCTAAAAGAGACAAAAATTTAAGTTTACATCTGCCAAGAACATTAAATCGAATTTATATTGAATCTTCACTGTCACTTTAATGAACCAATAAGACTAACATCCAAGTAGAAACGTAGGAAGTTGCTCACTTAAAAAAAAAAAAAAATCGGAAGGAAAAAAAGATTTTCTAATTTCTACTAAGTTATCGATTTGAAAAAGAAAAAATGGGCTAAGAATTGTTTGTGAAGGAGTAATTATTTAGCTTTACACCTCTTTGTTCTCTACATTTTAAAACATGACAATTAAATTTCAAGAAAGATAAGGCAAGGTAAAGATTTACAAAATAAAACAACTTCAGTTAAGAACTGAGGTGACTTTTTTTAGTAACTTATATAGCAAAACTCTACGTAACTGAAATCTTTCATAATACAGACTAAATGGCCAAATCAAATGAAGAAAATGTAAAATAATTCATCCTTTACATTCAAGAAATAAAACAGTAACCTGGCTTATCTTTTCACTGAAGCCAAGCACAGTAGTGCATGACTGTAATTCCACCGCTCAGGAGGAGGAGGATTGCAAGTTTGAGGCTAGCCTCAATAATTTAGCAAGACTCTCTCTCAAAAAATAAAGAGGGAGGGAATTATAGGTCAGTAGTAGAGCATCCCTGGGTTCGATTCCCAGTACTAAAAACAAACAAAAGAAAGCATTAAGTTTTACTTAAATTTCGAGACCACATTGTTAAAAATATAGTTTCTAAATATTTTATGCTGTATTTTACCATATAATAGTCACAGATTTTATGCCAAATATTTGGTTAAAAATTAAGGTACAACCATTGTATTTTTTAAAAACTGTGCCAGAATTACTTTAAAAATCACTTATTACTATCTTTGGTGTAAGATTAGAATGCATGGATACTTGTGAATATATGTTAAAACTGAATATTTCAAATCGACACACATATGGTCATAACAGTTTAGCAATCAGTTTTTCGGGGGGGGGGCAGCTAGTTCACACATTAGTTGCTGATTTGTGCATTACAGTCAGAAAATTACACTTGAGAAAATTTATTGCGATTTAACAAAATTTAATTTCGCATCTGAAGATTCTGCGCTCTCACTGGTTTTGTTGTCTGGTGTGCTGTCCTTCGCACTACTCATTATTTTTTTTCCATTACTACTGCAGCACTCTAAACATATACCACATAAGTTGGTTTTCAGAAATATATTAATAAGGCATGAACACTAAGAATTCTAGGCTCCTGGTTCACAGTGTGCAGGAAAACAACTGTGTATCCATCCATGTGCCACTGGTGAATACACTCCTCCTCCTCTGTTTACCTTTTAAAGGTGTGACAAACAGAATTATATCATGCAACAATTACATGATAAAAGGTTACAAACCAATTTTCGGACCAAAAAAAAAAAAAAAGTGGTGCAACAATTACACAGTGTTGACAATTACGCAGTGAAATTCAGTACTGCGAATTTTAAGTGTAAAAATATTTTATATTATACAATCTTTAAAAATATATGTGTAACTAGAATATAAAATTACATTTTAATTTGAGGAAAAGTTACAACCTCTTACCAGCTAATTTAAAAAAAATTGAACTCTTCAATAAAATTAATATTTTGACTTTAAAAAACAGTAATAAAAAATAAGTTTTTGGAGAGTGCTATTTGTCAAAGAAAATTAAGATTTATAAAAACTGTACTATGAAAAAAGTGACAAGTTAATGTACTCAGCATAATGTTGACATGAGCAAGAAACACACACTGTGCTTTTTCTAAGAAATAAATTCCACAAATTCAAGCTAATTATTATCACACTAAATAAAATGTAGACAAAATGTTGAAAATAATGCTTCCTTAAAGTCAAAATCTCTCCTATTCTCTTATTTTCAAGATACATTCTGATTAGTTCTCTGTAATAGTACCCCAAAGGGCTAAAATATCACTATGGAAGAGCTCTTCATCTAGGAAAGATGACAACTTTGAATTACAGAAACCTACTTCCTACAGCTAAAGTGACTGGGGACTGTGAAAATACTGAGAATCTCCAGAGAATAATACTGATGACGGAACTTGAAATAAGATATCTTGTCCTACTTTGGAAACAAGTCCAACTCAACTGTTCTCAGACAATACAACAAATGTACTTTTTGAGATATACTTATCAAAACTCATTTCATCGTCAGAAACTCCAGTTCATCAATAATTCCCTTCTATAGTTCCAAAGGTGATTTTACAACTTCAAATAAACAATTCTACAAACAAAATTTATTTTTTAAAAAACCAAATGAACACTTTAGTATTGTGATACTAGGGACTAGACCCAGGACATTCTACCCTTGAGCTACATCCCCAACTCCGCCACCCCCACCCCGCTTTTTTTTTTATTGTCACGCAGGGTCTTGCTAAGTAAGTTGCTGAGGCAGGACTTGAACTTGAGGATCCTTCTCCGCAGTCACTACATCCCCAGACTTTTTTATTTTGTATTTTGAGACAGGGTCTCACTAAGTTGCTTAGAGCATCACTGGTTTGCTAAGGCTGGCACCAAACTTGCAATCTTCCTGCTTTGGCCACTGTGATTACAGGCACGCTCCACGGCACACAGCATGAAGTCTTAAATGAGATTTTTAAGCATGCCATAAAAACCCAGAGCAGGTTCTTGTTTAAGAGAGTAATATTTCTGGGCGTGGTGGTGCAGGCCTGTAATCCCAGTGGCTCAGGAGGCTGAGGAAGGAGGATCATGAGTTCAAACCCAGCCTCAACAAAAGCAAGGCTCTGAGCAACTCAGTGAGACCCTGGTTTCTAAATAAAATACAAAATAGGGCTGGGCATGTGGCTCAGTGGTTCAGTGCCCCTGAGTTCAATCCCCATTACCAAAAAAACAAGAGAGAGAGAGAGAGAGAAACATCATCCCAGAATTTTTGTCCAATTAGCATCTGTGAACACAGATTGAAGAGAGTAAACAATGGAATTATGAAAAACAAACAATTACAGAACTTTAAATTCAGATCATTGGTCTAGACATACGCTTCCAATACAAGTGCTAATCAACATGTGGTTTGAGACCTAAAATATCACTCACCTAAACTTGAGTTGTTTAATATAAAATGCACTTCAGATTTCAAAGACTTCACATGACAAAAGGACCATAAACTACTCTGATATTTTTTATATTGATTATACTGAAATCATAACATTTGGGATACACTGTGTTAAATAACATAATTTAAATTATTTTCACTCAGGCTAGAGAATGCAGCTCAGTGGTAGAGCACTTGCCCACCAAGCACAAGGCCTGGATTCAAACCCAGCACTGCAAATACATACATATATACATTTTTTCCACTCTTTTTCCTTTAATGATGGCTAACTAGAATTTTTTTTTTCTTTTTTCAGTATTGCAGATTGAACTCGGGCACTCAACCACTGAGCCACATTTTGTATTTTATTTGGAGACAGGGTCTCACTGAGTTGTTTAGTGCCTTGCATTTGCTGAGGCTGGCTTTGAACTTGTGATCCTCCTATCTAAGCCTCCCAAGCCACTGAGATTATAGGAGTGCGCCACCACGCCCAGCTATAATTTTTTAATTATACATATGACTCCCATTGATTTCTATTGGAAAGTACTGCTCTCTATTGTTATCTCAACTTTTCTGACACTCTCACTCTCATCATGAATGTGTTCTCATGTTTATATATTTATAAATGTGATGCATAAGTCCTAATATACAGTATAAAATATTACATAAAAATGCCAAAAGGAATTAAAAGTAGAAATTTTAATTTTTTCTTTTTGCAATTCAATGAACTATCTCATACACTCCATACTGTTTAGACTGAGGGCATCAGCACAGAGATTAAACAGGAAAAAATAAACCCAAATAAAAGAATCACTAAAAATTTAGTGACTGGTTAACTATGAATATAGATGTAGGCATAAGCTGGACAGAATGGTAACTGAGAAGACTAAACAATAAGGGTTGGATTATAAAATGCAACAAAGGGCCAAGAACACAGCTTTAGATAGTCTTTAGACAGATTTTATATCAAATCTTCTCTGGATCCTTAAGTAAAAGCCTGGCATAGTCTGATGGCTGTTACATAAAAATACCTTCAGCCAGTCATGGTGGGCAAACCTGTAATTCCAGTGACTGGGGATGCTGAAGTAGGAGGATCCCAAGTTTGAGGCCAGCCTCAGCAACTTATCAAAGTATAAAACCTGTCTCAAAGTATAAAACCAAAGGGTTGGGGAGGTAGTTCAATGGTAAGGTGCCCCTAAATTCAATCCCAATCCACAATCCCCACCACGAGAAAAAAACCAGACTGGGTAATTTATAAACAGAAATTTCTCACAGTTCTGAAAGTTAAGTCCAAGATCAAATGCACTGGCAAATTCAGTGTCTGGTGAGGGCCCATTCTTCTTAAATAGAGCTTTCTTACTGCTGCATCCTCTTAGGATAGAAAGGTCAAAGGATTCCATTTGCCTCAGTTATGGCACTATTCCTATTCACAGGGGCTCCATACTCCAACCCTAAGCATATCTGAAGTACCACCTCTTCATTATTACATTGAAAATTAGGTTTCAACACAAGTTGTGGGGAAGGGGACACAAACATTCGGACCATAGAATTCCACTCCTGGTCACTCAAAATTTATTCCCTTCTCACATGCAAAATATATTCCTCTCTGGGCTGGGGTTGTGGCTCAGTGGTAGAGCACATGCCTCACATGTGTGAGGCACTGGGTTCAATTCTCAGCACCACATATAAATAAATAAATAAAATAAAGGTACATCAACAACTAAAAAATTTTTTTTAAATGGTCTCAATGGTAAACACACACACACACACACACACACACATTCAATTCTTCCAAACAGCCCCAAACAAACATCTTATTCCAGCAACTCAAAAATCTAAAGTCCAGAGTCTCACCTGAATCACATACAAGTGAAAACCAGAAGTGTGATTCATCCTAAGGCAGATTTCTCTTCAGTCATAAGTCTGTGAAATCAAGTCTGCTTCCAAAATACAATGGTGGGTCAGGCACAATTCCAAAAGGAGAAAGCAGAAAACAAAGATAACAGGTCTCACCGAATCTTAAACCCAAAAGGACAAACATTAAACCTTAAGGCTCCAAAATAATCTCCTCTGACTTGATGTCCTGCCTTCCAGACACACTGTGCTGGGGACTGGGCCCCAAGGTTCCAGGTAACCTTGCTCTCATGGCTTTGCTGAGTACGATGCATGCTGCAGCTCTCCACCAGTTGGAAGTAAGGTGCCTGCATCTCTCCCATACTGGACTAGCTCTTCAAGGGTCTTGAGGGCATCCCTGTCCCATGGCTCCACTGGACATTTTCCCTAGTGGCAGCTTTCTGATGGCTTCAGTCTTGTGACAGTTCTCTTCCTGGGTGCCAAAGTTCTCCAGAGCATCCTTTGAAATCTAGGTGGAGGTAGCAATGCCCCCAACACACAGTTCATGCACTCTGCCTTGGAATAAATAGCATCACACAAACTTTACGATCTGTGACCTCCAGAAAGGTGGCCACAGTGGTCAGTACCATACCCATCGGTGCACAGGAGCCACAGCTAGGACAGCCAAAGAATGATATGCTGGAATACAGGGAGTAGAGGCTTTAAATCATTCTGCCGCCAAAGCCCCAGCAACAGGCAGGGCAGCCCTAAAGACCTGACATGCCTTCAGGGTTACTATATTGATAAATAGGCACATGGCTTCCAAATACCCATACTAATCTCCTTAACCAAAGTTTACCTGGCCACACCCTGGGCACTCTCTTCTGAACATACTTTCATTATTTACAACAAGGGCAGGTTGAGAATTTGCTGCATCTTTTAAGTTCTCCACCCCTTTTTCTTTAGCTTGATTTTCTCATCTCTCATTTTATTGTAAGTAGTCCAAAGAAGCTGTATGCACCCAACACTTTGTATTTCTCCTGCCAAATATCTATTTCATTCCTCTGAAGTTCTACTTCCATAAAGCACACGGACAAGAACACAATTCAACCAAATTCTTTATAAGAATTGTCTTTCCTCTAGTTTTCAACATGTTATTCTCATCTGAGGCATAGTCAGAATGGCCTTTACAGATATACTTCTACCAACAGTGTGTTCACTACAATTTAGGTAATCTCTAATTTCAGGCTTTCTCTATAGCTGTCTTTTGAACCCTCACCAGAAAATCATCCTTAAGGGTCCCTTCATAGCAATATAACCCAAAACTCTCCTGGCTTCTATTCATTACTCAGTTCCAAGCCATGTCCACATTTTTAACTATCTGTTATAGCTGCATCCTACATGTAGGTACCAATTTTTGTCTTCACCCATTCAGGATGCTATACTAAAGTACCTTACACTGGGTAATTTATAAACAGAAAACTGTTGCTCAGTGTTTTGGAGGCTGTAAAGTTCAAGATCAATGTGGCTACAGATCCAGAATCATTCCTTATAGATAATGCTTTCTTCCTGTAAGCTTCCTGTGTCCTCACATGGTAGAAGGAGCAAAGGGTTCTCTCAAGCCTCTTTTGTAAGGACACTATTACCATCACCTCTTAAAGGCCCTGCCTCTTATTGTGTTCATTTTTTTCTATTTTTAAGACTTAGCATAGTTACCATCCAAATTTGTTAGCAAAGTAGGTCCTTTAAACACATAGATTCGCAGATAAATGGATAGATAGGCATATAGATGGTAAAGCAAATATAGCAAAATATGAATTACAGAATCTAGATGGCAAGTATTTAAGTACTCAATATACAATACTTTTACATAAAATTTTATTCACTATAAAATTCCAGGAAAAGAAAGCAGAGACTACAAATGAAGACTGAGAGGCTCATGTATTCTCCAAGTTTATAAGTGAAATGGATTCACTTTAAAGAAAAAGAAGATATGTGTGTGCCTGAGAGTGGAAAGAACTGAACAGATATTTGTTGCTTCTCTCCATCTCTAACTTTAGGACTGCATACAAAGACTAGTGGTCTTGAGCATTTAGTCTTACCTCAAACAAAGTACTACTAGCTAAGCTTTACTCATTCTAGGACAATGCAAATCTGTAGAATCAAGGCCCTTTGCTTGTTTTGAACCATGATAATCTATTTCATATTTTATCTGAGTTTCTAACACCCCCCTTAAACTGACCTTTAGATGAAGAAACATCTAGCCAACCTGGTTTGGTTAGATGTTTCTTCATCTAACCAAAGGACGAACATTGTTCATCCTTTTGTCCAGATTCTAGCCTTTCATTCTCAAGGTCCTCTACAACAATATCAAGGATTCTTGCAGCAGACCCTGGAGGAAACTAATTTCATCCATGTCATGGTCCTTGACCCAAAGACATCAAAAATGTTTTCTGGATGAAGGAAACTCATGCTTTATAATATTATAATCACAATTATAATGGGTGCTTAGTTTCACATTTACACATACATTGTGCTAAGAGAAGAAAATGTACAAGCTGGTTTTCTGAAATTGAATATTTAAGGAAAGATCTACAGCCTTTTCTGTAGAGTACTAAATTAGAGAATGGAGCTGGAAATGAAAGGCTGATAAGTTCTTTTAACTAACACTGGGGGGGAAAAAAACTACATTTTAATTATTAATGGTCTCCTGGATAATACCAGTAGGTTCATCAGCTTCAAAATACCATAAGCATGAACTAAAAGGGAGAAGATAAATTTGGTGAAGATTAAGAATTGACAGGAATTCAATTTCCAAATGACCCAAATTCATTTGGAGCTCATGTGCTCTTTTCTGTTGTTGCTTCCAAAGGACTGCAGATCATGCACTTGCTGAATTTTGCCTTTGTCACACATGACCTAACAAGGAAGGCATTCATTATACCATAGTAGCTTCCCCTAAGTATCTGGTTCTAAACAGCTGCAAATTTTGGAAGGTAATATCAAATGATGTCTCTCAAGTATGTTCTTTCATCAACAAATATTAAAACAAGTTTATAGTCTACTAGATAAACTGCAGAATTAAACTCAAACAAATTTAAAAAAATGAAGTAGAAAATATAAGAAATAAAACTCTATTGTTAATAATTGACCCACTAAATATATTTTAAAGAATTTCTAAAATACAGCACCCTCATTCTTCATTACATTTGCTTTTATCCATCAGAAAAATGCCACATCAATAATGACTTATTTATTTCTTTCAAATGCTGTGAATAAGATGACAAAATGTCTTAAAATAATTTTTAAGCCCAATCTCTAATGTCCATATAACCATTTATGAAAAGTAAAAATTGCTTCCTAGACCCAAATCTGCAAAGCGTGGGTGAAAAACATCCTGCCAAAAGTAGAAACAGACTATAAAAAATGTTTCATAAGAGTTATGACTTATTATACAAAGATACACATAAGCTGGCTTTTTTTAAACCTGTCACTGCTCCTCAGTCACATCAGAATACACTTTATCCTCCATCTATTACATGTTCCATAAGGAAAAACAAAAACATCATAATTGCTAAGCAAAAGAGAGGAGGAAAATGCACTACACCAAGGAATAGCTATAGTACATTATCATCAATTGTTTTATTTTTTTTTTTTTTTTTTTAAGAGAGAGTGAGAGAGATAGAGAATTTTTTTTTTTTTAATATTTATTTTTTAGTATTTGGCGGACACAACATCTTTGTTTGTATGTGGTGCTGAGGATCGAACCCGGGCCGCACGCATGCCAGGCGAGCGCGCTACCGCTTGAGCCACATCCCAGCCCTCATCAATTGTTTTAAAACTCACATTTAGTTTGATTTTCATCCCTTCCCATTTATACTAGGGACACAACAGAGCCATGTAGCCTGCCCCAGAAGGCTACTACCTGTTAAAGACTAAGGCAGGTGTTCCTTTTTGTACCTCCTTCATTCCATCAACACCTTGTGATCATCCTTTCATCTTAAAGAGGTAGGCTGATTTACACCCCCTTATCAACTGCTTTGTGTTAATTCAGATGCCTATAAGTCTTTGAAGTTCCAAAGGCTCAAACTGTATCTTTAGGATCTTCACTTAATATTGTCACCATACAATTCCTAATTTCTTAAAAGGAAAAAAAACAGAATTAACAATTTTCAGTATTACCCACAACAAAGTCAAATTCCCAAAGTTATGATGAAGATCAAAACAGGATTTATTGGAAAGCTGTATCTTATGACTGTGCCATCAAATCCAATTGTAAGGGACTGGGGGCATAGCTCAGTGATGGGTGCTTCTTGCAGGAGACCTCAGTTCAATCCCCAGTACTTCCTCCAAAAAAATCCAATAGCAATTAACAGAGGCAATTTTGCTTTTATTTCCTTCATTAATAGGCATGATATAACTTCCAGCAACATATTGATGCAAAAATCCAGAGATAATGTTTCATTTGCTTTAAAGAGCAAATGGAGAGCAGGAAGTGTTGGAAAAAATAAAACAAAATCTATTACAAGTCAAGGTCAGTGACGAAGGATTGAGGACTCCTACCAAAGCTTCCTGCTGAAAACATTAATTGTAATTATGCTTCAATTTCAAGTTGGCTACTTTTGAAACTAGATTCTACTTACATGATTCTACAAAGGAAATGATAAAAAGTATTGATAAGCTGGAACATCTGAAGAGGGCCAGTAGGGCAAATGACTAGATCCTGTTGCAGTCTGACCTCTTTTGAAAACTATGGAATAAACACATTCATAGGCAAAACAAATCACTTGTTTCAAAGCTTTGTAATTTAATATTTGAAAGCACTACTGACAAAATTTTAGTTACCTGTTCAGACAAGCAGTCCTGGGATATGTTATTAAGTTATAACCCAGTATTAGTAAGAACGCAAGAAAAAGGCTGTTGCTGAGTTATAACCATAGAAAACCTTCAATTATCCATAATTGATGGGATGGGGGATACATAGGGACAAGATGGATAAATTAAATTCTCTGATGACTTAAGAAGAATGTCGGATTAATTCAAAGTTCCCTTCTTTACTATACAAAAAGTTCATTTAAGATCAGCTCTCCTTCCTCCTAAACATTCCTTAACAAAAATGCTAACAAGCAGATATCTAGCCAAAAAAGTAAGACAAACTCCAACTGGCTCTATTTTTTTCAGCAATTCCAATCACCAACCATCAAACTATGAGTTTTAATTTTCTGAAAATCACTTATATTGAAAACCCCAATGTCCTCTCTTCCCCGCCAAAACCCTCCTACCCTAATTTAGATTTTTCTCGATCAAATGTATCTCTCAACTGTACTAAAAATTAGTGTTTGAACTGAAGTTTAAGCAGTTGACAACTATTACATTAAAACTGGAAAACGCTGATATCCTGCAACTTTCGATTCAAATCCGCTGCGATTCCAGGCGTTGACAGAAAACCGAACTTCCTTTTTCTCCCCCATGGATCCTCCTGGCCCTCCCTCGAGCTAACGATCCCTCTCAGGGCCTGCTATGACATCACGGCCCCTCTCTGGAAACCCCTGACGTCACAGAGACGCGGACCCACAGGCACTATGACTTCATCGTCCACTGGCGCGGAACTGCAGTTGACCTGCGCCAGCCCGGAGGAGCCAAGGAACCATCCGTGCCTCGGTCCTGCCCGGTCCCCGAGGAAGGTTAAAGATAAGCGCCAGCTCACCTGCGCTGAGGCAAGGAAGGGCAGAGTGGCCGAGCCCAGGCGGGCGCGACCGGGCGATGCGACCCCACTTCCTCACCGCCCAAAGGTGGAGCGCAGGTCGGGTGTCTTTACACGGCCCGATCCCGCTCCAGGGGCCCGGGACCCTGCTCCCGCCCGCCGGCCAGCACGACCCTCAGCGGGCCCGCACGCGGGTAGAGGGCGCCCCGGAGGAGGCGCGGGCCACGGGTCCTTCCCGGGTCGCGCCGGGCGCCGCGAGCCCGGGACCCACAGGCGGTGCCCCCCGCCCCCACCCGCCCCGCGCCCCGGGAGTGCCGGCGGGCGGCGGGAGGGGGCGGGGAGCGGCCACGGTGGCCGCCGGCCCGGGCCGCGTTGCCCCTCGCGCCCCACTCCACTCGGCCCCGGCCCACCTGTGCTCCTGCCCCGGCCGGGGCCTGGCCTGGGGCTGCACCAGCCCGATGAAGAGGCGGCAGCAGGCCTGGCTCGCTCCCCACAGCTGAGGCGGACAGAGCACCCAGCGCGGCGCGGCGGAGCCCAACGCTCGCCCCGAAACCCATTTGTTTGGCTAAAACGGCGTGACGTCACGCGCCGGCCCAATCGATGGTTGGCCGGGGGAGGGGCCTTGCAACCAGGTGGTGCTAGCGCCCCCTGCCGGAGCCTGGGAGAGCTCTGCAGGGAAAGGGGAAAGAACAGGGAGCAGCTTCTCCTGGCCGCCAACTGGTGGAGAGAAGCAACTGGGGCGCGAGAAATCCAACCCCCAGGCTAGCCAGAATGGCAGTAATGCCAGGGTTCAGCAACAAACATGACAAGTTTATTAATACTCGTGGGTAGACCGGAAGCTATAAAGGTATTAGATACTATTAGATATCCTAGTAGATTTGGGTCCTAGTCTTGGTTCTGCTACTTGGAAGCTGAGATTCAAAATTCTAATTTGCAAATCGAAGGGTTCTGAAGAATCCCTTCTGTCATTCTTTCCCATGCAAATTGTGGCAGGATTAGCAGTCCAAAGTAAATGAATTTTGAGGTTGACAGCCTCAAACTGTTAAAGCTTAAGGGCATCTTAATGATGAATGTAGAATAGGTTTTTAATTCTTCATATACAAATCAGAGGGCAAATGAAGAGGCTTTTTATCCTTGATTCTTATAATTATCACTGTTTCCATTGTAAGAAGTAATTTTAACCACATTGGACAATAAAGAAAATGTCCACGTGATGACAATAAGGAAAAATCCTTCGCCCTAATCCATGCTTAACATTTGCTGTATTTTCTTTCTCTCTCTCTTTCTTTCTCTCTTTCTTTTTTTGTTTGTTTTATTTTGTTTTGTGGGGGGGTGGGAGCTGGTGGATATCAGGGATTAAACTCAGGCTTTCCACCACTGAGGCACATCCACAGACCTATTTTGTATTTTATTTAGAGACAGGGTCTCACTAACTTGCTTAACACCTCGCTTTTGCTGAGGCTGGCTTTGAACTCACAATCCTCCTGTCTCAGCCTCCTGAGCCGCTAGGATTACAAATGTGTGGCCTCTATGCGGGCTGGTGTATTTTCTTTCACACCTTTTACCCCATGCATATTTATTAACAATGAGATCATAGTGTACACATTCTATGAACATTTTTATATTTATACATAAGCTTTATAACAACTGCAAAAAATTAAATGAGCATATGTAAATTTTTTTGTTTTTTGTTTCTTGTAGAGTTTTGTTGTGGTGGTGGTTTGTTTGTTTTGTTTTGTTTTTGGTTTGATTGATTTGTTTTTTGAGCTAGCTCCCCCCCCACACACACACACCCTTTTTTTTTTTTTTTTAAATAGGATCTCACTAAATTGCCAAGGCTGGCCTCAAAATTTGAGATCCTCCTGCCTCAGTTTCCTGACTCACTAGGATTACGGACATGTGCCACCACACACAGCTTCATTTCTTTTAAGTCCTTTAAGTCTTGCTTTATGGTTATAGCTCCAGAAGATGGGAAAGCAGAAAGATGGACAGTACCTGCATCCTTGATGACATCATTGAAACACTGATTTAATCAATCCTTGAGAAGTCTTGTCATGTGAGATAATAAATTCTATTGCTATTTAAATCATTTATAGATTGGTGTGTGTGTGTGTGTGTGTGTGTGTGGTTTTAGTTTTTGTTTTTGTTTTTGTTTGGTGGTGGGGTGGTTACCAGGGATGAACTCAGAGGCACTTTAGCACTAAGCCACATCTTCAGTCCTTTTTTTTTTTTTTTTTTTGGCTTTTTTATTATGAGACAGGGTCTCACTAAGTTGCTTAGGACCTCACCAAGTTGCTTAGACTGCCCTTGAACTTTTGATCCTCCTGCCCCAGCATCCTGAGTCACTGTGACTACAAGTGTGCACCACAAGGCCAAGCTACAGGGGTTTTGTTAAAGTGTACCCCCAAAAAATTGTAATTGATACAGTTAATATTTTTTTATTTGATATGTTGAGTAGAAAATAAAATGTAAGGAGAAAAGACAATGGCCTACTCCTTTGGGAGCAAGCTCTATAATTGTCTAGTAATAAAATAATTTTGCTTTGCTGTGCTTCCAGAATAATTTTAATTAATGATACCAGAAATTGATAAAATCAGTAGGGGAAAAAAAAACATTGTCAATCCAGAAGACTATATTCTTTAAATAAATGAGCAGGAACTAGTGTGACATTTTAAAATCTTTTAAGAAAATTACATTTTCCAAGAATTGAAATTTAATTTGGAAAAGCCTATAGTAGTAGCATAAGACGAATCAGCCTACCCTTTTTTTAAGCACACCTAATTCACAGAATCTTGCTGTAGCAAAGGAGGGGCTGGCTACCTAGTTAAAATAACCTGGTTACATCAACTTGCTAAAATGATCCAGGGAGTAGATTTTGCTCAGAAATGAGTTCTTTGAAATAGTCAGCAATTTATTATGCAGTTTTAGAGTTTGCTGACATTTTCTTACCAGGCATAA